GTTAAAACTTGAGTCACTTCCGACTGTCTGGATCATTTGGAAAGCTGCGATGATGCATCTGATTTAGTAAAGAGCAGCATGTTTGTTTTACCCTGAATTTCCACTCTAATAACACTGACAGACTCTCTGCAGTAACAACACTGCTCATCACTTCATTGCTAATTGGTGGCTAAACTGCTGTTGGCTGAACAGGTGCTCACATGGAAATGTGTCCATGGTTGTGATATCACAAAACAGGCTGTGTTTCTGGGAGTGAATAGTACATTTTGCTTACATGCTGCAACATCAAGCACTTTTATTTATTACAAAACAAGGAAAAGTTAGTCTTGTATAGCATGAGTCTATTATGGGGTAACAGCTTTTAAGTGAAATTTTTAGTTTTTTGGTTGTGGTGGTGGTTTTCCATCCCTCCTGATGTGTACTCTTCCATGGCCCTGACCTTGACTGTGTAACTGGCTCTTTAATGCCCACCTGTTTACAGATGGACGCAATGGATGATTGGCACACTGCCCAAAGGCACTGTGACACCATTGGAACCAAACTCATGAACTTTGCACCATCTTATTAGCTTAATAGAAGTTACATCATACTCAGACCCCCAAATCTGTCCCTGGTGTTTGTGTTGCTTCAGTGCCAACTCCTGCAGCCTGTGGCAGTTCTAAGACAGTTTTTTGCAGGACAAGCACTTTCGTCTCTTTTGCTTTTGTTTGTAGAGAAAAAAATATGAAGTCTTTTTGTGTGCTTGACTCCTATGCAGCATGATCGAGAATTAAGAGGCGCCATATCATGGAAAACCTTGCTTTTCTTAAGAGACGTGTGTGTGTGTGTGTGTGTGTGTGTGTGTGTGTGTATATATATATATATATATATATATATATATATATATATATATATATATATATATATATATATATATATATATATATATATATATTATATTATTTAATTTTTTTTCTTTTTAACTTTTTAGTTTTCAAACTTGCACTTTTTGGTCCGTAGAAGGGAACTTTAGCATGTTTTAAATGTGGATGGTTTACATATGACCACCCATTCAGTCTACGGCAGTTTAGCTCCGCCCATTCATGTTGAAGTGATGCGTTACTGCAGACGCTTTGTAGCTGAGTTACTGGAGTGAAGAAAATGGGGAAAATTATTAAATGCTGTGCTGTTCCTGGCTGTCGGGAAGGAAACTTCAAGGGATCAATGCAGCCTTCCAAAGGCATCCACACATTCAAAGAGACTGAACATTCAAAAAAGTTTATTGGTTTCCGTCTGAAGTCCAGACTGCTTGATAAATGAGACACTGTACAGGACCAGTTAAAACAGAAGTTGTTTCCTTGTATCAGTAACAAATGTAACAGCTTCTTTAATTATAAGGGATAATGATCATGTATATATTATGACTGTTTTAGGTACAAAAATGGATTTTTGAGGGGGGAGGTTGATTGAATACAAGAAAAACAAAGTATGGACACTTTAACTTCACATTTCTCTCTCTGTCTCTCTCTCTCTCTCTCTCTCCCTCTGTAGACATGACTGATGGTTCGTCCACTTTGAAGCAGATGGTTTTTGGCATCGTCACAGCCATCGACCTGCTGAACTACGTGACCAGTCGTGAGAGGAGGGAGCGAACACTGTCCGAATGCTCACTCCCAGACGAGCTGTAACTGCTTTGTGACCAACACCTAGAAAACACAGCCACGACTGAGAAGATGATGCATATCATATAGATATGAAAGGCTATTTTAGTTACTTAAATTGTTGTTTTCTTTTTTTTTCCATTTTTCTTTTCATTTAAAAACTTGATGATTTTACTGTTAATAGAAATCAGATCAGTGCTCTTTATGCAGACGCTATTACTCTGTCTTTGGCAAAGAATTGCTTTTAAATTGAGTTCGGTTTAATTCAGTTGTTGTCTTTTAGGGTCTTATTCGCAGTGAAGTACAGCTGTGCAGGTTTGTCTTTACCAGATTTTATGAGATGTATATAATTGAAATGATGAAATGATGCAAGGCATGCTTTGTCTTGACTTTATGATAACTTATATTTTTCTGTTTTAATGCTGCTATTTTCCATCTTCTGCTTTTAAGAATGACCGTCCTCTAGTAGGACTGATTTTGGCAATCATTTAGGGGTCATACTGCCACCTTGTGACTATAAGGGGTCACTGCAGAATAGTCTGCTTTCTACAATCATGCTTAGATTTCTCAAGCCTGTTGATCTTGGCGGGTTGTTACAAATGACTGAAGGTCACTAAGAGTCGAGGTGAAGCACAGTTATGTTCAGCAAAATAAACAGCTCTCAGTCAGACAGACTAATAGTATTAACTGTTTTCTGGCAGTGAAAGCTGGTGTGCTGGTGAATGAGTGTAAATAATTATGCACCACGATCCTGTCTACAGCGACCTTGATAGTTTTGATGTTTATTCTGTTCTTCTGATTGTTTTTTTGTAAATTTAATCTGAATGTAAGATTGAAAGTGGTTAAGGTGCAGAATGTTGGAGCAACAGAATGTTGTATCAGTCCAGAAAGGGTCTTTATTTTAGACTTGTTTTCATCATTTGATGAGTTTCTTTTCTGTTTTTTGATATGTTGAATGCTAAATAAATGTGCTCTAGTTTTCAATAACATCTCTTCTTCCTGAGGATATTTTTTGCCACAGTAGAGCATTAAATTAAGTTTTTCACATCATATCCCAAAATACAGTACACTTACAACAAGATTAGAGCCATTTGTGTTCATTACAGGTGTAAACAAGAGGCCTGAAAATGGGGAAGATAAACAATAAAGTGAACACAGGCCAATAATTGCAAAACAAGGCAGGCATTGCTGTCGTCTAATACATACAGTTAATCATTGTATATTTGTTGCACTGTTTACATATATTTACATATATTACACCCATTGAAGGTCAATTCCACTATGCCAGTTACAGGTCCATGGTTTGTTAATGTTAATAAGTGTAGTAATTAATTTTCACCAAAGCATTACCAAAACAATTACAGCAAAAGAAGAAAGAAAGTAGGAAAGGAAATGCGAAAAACTTGGACTCTTAATTTAAAACATAAGGACCGCAGGCATCTAGAAGATGAAATGTTCATTACACAATTAAATATTTAATGTTGTAATTTCTACAATAAAACTGAACTGCTTTCCCAATTATTTCCATACACAATATGTTTGCCCTTAATTATTATTTAAATACAAAATACCTACTGCTTTACAATAAGCCTACAGAACATAGTGAATTATTCTTGCCTGTCAAGTTTACAAAATATGTGGTCTAGCTCAGCTTACCTTAAATAGAGCGTGAGTAGCGTTAAAAAGAAACAGACCTCAGCCTATCAAGGAGTTATAGCAATATTAAGATTTGTCTCTCATAAGGAGAAAATATAAATATTTCAAATCTATTTATAAAATATATTTTTGCAGTATATGAAAATGGCCAAAAATATGTTTCTTAAACATATATTTAAAATGCATTTATTTGTATTTGTTATTATATTTTTCAATTGTGTGTAGTTTACATACAGTTTAAAGATGTAACTAAATACACACGAACTGAATGAATGGTACTGACTTCTGTGTTTTGCATTGTACTTTGCATTAAGACACTCACACAAAATGTATGCCAAATAAACAAGATATCAAATCGTCAAACTACGTTTTCACAGTGTATCAATATCTACAACACTTGCTTTTGTCCTGTTAAAGGTCCATTTACCGACATTTACAGTCAAGATACTGGAGTACAAATTCATTTCAAGAGATACAAATTCACTTTAAAAGGTCTCCAAACAGTAAGTATTTTGGCAATTTTCATACATTTTCAAATGTACTTCAGAAATACATTTACATACATGTATTCTTCTATAGTACATTTCTGTGTGTAATATTTCCCCATAAATTTTAATATAAGTGCATTTTAAAATATATTTACTAATATTATTAACAGGGCAATATATTCTGAAATGCATTTTTGTGATTGGAATTTATTTTGGCTGGATTGCATTTGAAATGTACATGTAAACTTAAAAGTGACGGAGCAGCGGTGGTGAAGTGACGGCCGCTAATAAAAGTGGCTGCGATGTGGCCGTTCAATGGCGGCAGCAAAGTGGCCGCGATGTGGCCGTTCAATGGCAGTCAATAATAAAAGTGGCCACTCAATGGCGGCCGCGAAGTGGCTGCGATGTGGCTGCTCAATGGCGGTAAAACTGGCCATTTTTATGCTTTGAGACCACACACAGTACATCAGGGAAAACCCTTGAAAGTCGATGTTGATTAAAAGGTAATATGTGCAAAGGGCTTTATGGCGATGTGAGCATCTTATTTTTCCCTACTGTATTTATTCACTAGTAAATTTGATTCAACTTCATAATTGTTATTAGCTTTGCTGCTTGTCATTCATCCTCATCAGCCATTAAACCTGCACCATTAGAGGTTTGTCAGATTCAAATTTGTCAGAACAAATGCTTGTTGCCTAGCTAGCTAAATTGTTTCCCCAGCTAACCCTGGGTTTAATGAAAATCATTACCTAACAGCGTTAAATCAACTGAAACATTAAATCTGTTGTAAAACTGTGGAGCAGTAGGAGGTGAATTCTGTCTGAAATATGTGTTGCACCTTTATACTTCTTTCCACTGCTCAACTTCAGTGTCATTGTTGGTGTTGTGCCAGTCAGTGCTGTGCCAGTTGTCTGTGTAAAACATTACTAGGCTAAATGTGATGCACTGCATTGCTGCCCACTTGTTTGACAACAGTTTTATCTCCTGCAAACACTTTACTTTAAAGAATGATATTCAGTGCCTTACTGCAGTTACTTATACACAATAGGAAATCATCTTGTGTTGCAATGTGAAATATTTGGTGATTTTTTTTTTTTGTCTTGCAATAACATGTTTGCTTTTTGGATTATGAAAGTAGCACATGTTATAATCTTAAACTGGTCCTTGTGCAAACATATCTTTATAAAACGTTCCTTCGTCATTATCAAATGCTTTCAGTTTTTGGGTTTCTTTGTGTTCATGCACAATTAATACAGCTGGTACAGTATTTTAGATCAGAGCATCTTTATGTTTCTGGATGTTTTGGTGTTAATTTTTTCCCTTCTGGCTGCAGAGTCACTGCAAAATTTAAGTGTCTAACATTGTTTTCTATTATTTTCCTGACTCCAGTCTCAAAGTGTGAACTGTGTGCAGTACAGTCTCAAAATCAGTAAGAAGAAATTAAGCTACAGAAATGATATTGCTTTAAGACCTATTAAACTGTAGCATGTTCACTGTTGTCTGTACAGATGTCAATACGTGTCCTTTCAGAGTGATTACATACACCAGAATAAAGACTGTACTGAAAGACAGTTGGTGATGACTGCATTGCTTTCTTTGCTTTCTCTCTCCATTAGGAGGTCTTCACAGAGATGGAGAAGTATGGAGAGGTGGATTAGATGAATGTGTGTGATAGTCTGGAAGATTATATGGTGGGAAAAGTATGTGAAGGTGAATAGAGCAAAAAAGGAAACAAGGGCACAGTTTAAATTTGGAGCAGAGCAGTAAATCTAACAGTTATTTCAGTTAATCTGTTGATTCCTAGTTAGGGTCGGCCTGTGCTGCCGGCTGCCAGCAGAGGGCGAAGGCAGTGAGGCACTGTTACTCCGGGAGACTCAAAATCCTAGAATACCAAGAGGTAATCAGTGCCAACCAGGCGCACCTGTTGGTACCAGCATTTAAGGCTGTGGTAAACAGCGCACCCTTGTCACACCTTTGTAGAGGGGTGACCGGTATGGTATTTAGTGGTTTGTATCTCCAGAAGGAGGAGGAGGAGGAGGAGGAGGAGGAGGAGGAGGAGGAGGAGGAGAGGAGAGGAGAGGAGAGGAGGAAAAAAAAAAGAGAAAGGCTGAAATATAGTCATCTCCCCGTCCCTCTTTTGAGAGGTGTTTTGGTTTGGTCATTCAGTCAGTTTCTTGAATTTATTCCTTGTGTGTGAGATGCCATTTTGGCATTCGTTTTTTTCCCCGCCTTTTTTCTCCCACCATTCAGAGAGGTGTAATTCTGTGCTCCCCAGCGGTGCAGTGGTAGGGTGCTGATCTTGCAAGGCCAGCGTTGCATGTTTGAATCCAGCTGGGAGTTACTTTCCTCCAACTGTACACAACACACTCACTGTCTCCACCATTGTTTGACACCCTGTCATACTATAGACATACCAAGAAGGTGGACAAAATGCGCTTGGGTCCACTCCCTGACCGTCCCGTGACGATATTTATTTGGATATTACAACAGAGTGTATCCTTGTTTCATTACAATATAAAATATTGTTGAAATTGTTGAATTGGAACAAAACATACTCAGGTGACCGTCAGTATACTTGGGGAGTGGGGCCCAATTTATAGCCCATGTATGGGAAACACTGTGTGTGTGCGTGTTTGTGTGTCTCCTTGTTTTCTTAAAAAAATAATATCAGGACAATTACTGCTCAAACATTGAATTTTTATAATATAAACCACGGGCGTATTACAGTCACATACTCAGTAAATCAAGGACAGTTTCCATTCACATCATAACAGTCTGATTTTTGATGGTTTTATAGTTTGTACTCAGAGCTCCAAGCTGAATCAGCCTCATGCTTCACTACATGCACACAGCTCTGCTGTAGAGACTCAGTCAGCTCTGTAGAGCTCCTGTGAGAATTGGTGTTAAACTTATTTACCAGGATGGACTAATACCCAGCGTCTGTGTCTTTGGAGTCACATTAACAAATAAATTCACTCTCACTTGAGCACTTGTTTGTTTCATAACAAACACACATCAAACAGGTTGTGTCAGTGCATTAAAATGGCATCTGCTGTTTTCATCAGTAAAAATGAGAAAAGCCCTCACAACGACTAAAATTAAGAGTGAAAAAATACTGTTAGTGATGAACTTACATTGTGGCTCACAGGAAGCTCATTGCTGTGTGTGTGTGTGTGTGTGTGTGTGTGTGTTCTCGTTTTGATCTCTTCATGGGGACACCACCCTGTTTACACACCAACCAAATGGGGACGCAAAACGTTGTGGGGACAAAAACCATGGTCCCCATGAGGGAGACCCCTTAAAACGTATAGCGGAGGGTGTGACTAGGTGCCTCCCGCTCGATTTAGCTTAGGCCCACGATGAAGGTTTGGACCTGAAGTGTGTGTGTGAAGCTGTGCTCCACAGCGGCCTCTGTAGTCTGGAGCTGGTTTTGCAGGGGGTGGGACCACGCCCGCCCGCTTAACACACTCTGCAAGTCTAATTTATGCAAATCCGTCCTGAGGGGAACGCTGCGCATGCGCACTAGTAAGGTAAACAGACTTAGCTCTAAAAGCGAACATATTCAACTCTGAAGGTAATATGAATTTCCGAAAATGTCCACAGTTTTTTGGTCTAATAAACATTCATAGTACATCCCAAATGTATATTACATCATAAAATCTATGTAGAGTAATTATTAAGTCTAACAAAATTGTTAACTCAATCATGTTTCATGGTCTAACATGCTGTGCATTCAGTAGGTCAATACAACTACTTACTTTTGTGCAGCGATAAAGCTAATAATTCCTAAAATGTGAGTTACAATCATAGTTCTACAGTTTTTCAGAGTATATTAAAGCATTTTTGCGTTTTTATAATGTGTTTGCGAAGAGTGAAATCAGCAAACGTAGCTGTCTTAAAATGGTGGATGTAGTTTTTTGAAGCTTCTCTCATGGTCCGTAAACACTACTACAGGAAGTCGCCGAGAACTACATTTCCCTTCCTGCCTCACTTCCTCTCTGGCACGGCTGTGTGGCTAATTGGCCATTTTCTCTGCTTTGTCCAAACGGAGAGAAAGGTAAGCAAAGCGTTTACTATTCCCTATTTATACTGGTTTGTGGTTTTCCTTATGTGTTTAAAGAGCGTTTGGTTATCCTTAAGACTTGTGAAAGGACATGAAATATGGTTCTTAGGCGTTTTTATTCCAAATGAATGCTGCTAATTAGGTTAGCTTGCAGACCCCAGGCAGTGCAGAAAAGCAAGCTCTAGCAGCTCAGCCTCAAAACTGTTAGTGAAAGCTCAGCCACATCGGTGAGTCTGGCGACTATTAAACAGCATTTTTAGCCGTGAAACATATTTTTAGCTGCACAGCTGTACTTCTGAAAGCCTTGTTAAACACTTAAACCCGACGAACGCGTTTTGCGTTCTGTTTACTCTCCCTGTGAAGTCTGTTTTACTGAAACGGTGTCTCTCAGAAACGGTGTAATACAGTAAGATACTGCTGTAGTAAAACAGTGTCATCGAGGTAAAGGTAGCTTATTTAATTTGTTTGAGTTTAGGTGAGTCAGAGCTGAGACAGTAACCCAGATGAGGGGGGAGGGAGAGAGAGAGCAGAGCAGCGCAGCCGTGGGGTGCAGTGGGGGAGGGGAGGGGATGATTTTGGTTACAGAGCTGTTTCTACAGACCTGCAGCTCTCTGACCACTTTATGCAGCAGATCAAACTAAAGAACAACATGATGAAATGTTTAACTGGAGAGCCCTACCGTTATGTTTTAAATCAGCTAGTAATTGTGTGAAAACACTAGTTTTTCCTGCACTCCAGGGCTGAAATCTTAGCTGTTTTTGTTTAAAATCATTACCTTTCTGTACATCAGAATCTCCAACCATTTTTCTAGAGCTGAAAGAACAAGAGCAATTAAATTCTGCATGTTGCAGTACTTTTGATTGGCTTTAATAAAACTTAAACCTCAGTCCTTAAACCTACAATTTTCTTTTTCATAGAGAAGTGAAGAGTAGGAAAGTTTATTAAAGGGAACCCTGACTGTTCACACTTCTTGTAACAGTGTACATATCCAATACTGTTAAATTATGATATATAAGCCACAAGGAAATGTTTTGTTTATCATAAAAAGAATGACAAATAGGCAAAGTTCCTCTGTTACTAGGCCACCTTGTCACACTGTGATATCATGTGATTGCACTGAAATCAGTCCTGTGGTAAATAAGACAATCAAAAAGTTTGTCTCTTGAGTAATGTCACATTTTAGCTAAAATGGGAAAGGCTGAACGATATAGAGTTAAATGAGAATATTAGCTTCCCGTTCCTCGTTTAGTGAACAAGAGAGAGAGCAACCATTTGATGTGGAAATACTAGTAGAGAAGTTTTATCTATTTTTAATAATAAAGTGTTTTGCTTGGTTCATTTAATGTAATTCAATAGTATTGAACGTGTCCCTCGTACTGGGGCCTCTATGTCTTAAAAGTCAGGGTTCCCTTTAAGAGCAGTATGAAAAAGTGAAATATTTGTAAATAGCTAATGGTAAACCTCTATGTCAATCTGAACAGTAAAAGTCATTTCAAAAGTACTTATCCTGACCCTGAAGAAAACACTCCAAAGCCTGGTTGTGCTCTTTTTAAATGTTTTGGATGAAAACTGTGGATGTGGCAGTGATGGACAGTTCTGTTTTTGGAAGAGCATATGTTGCTTTTTGTGTGTGTTTTTGTGTTTTGTTTAAAATCTTTATTATCATTCTATTTCATCCAGTCAATATATGGACAGTTCCTTGAAGAGTTAAAAATGCCACGAAGAATCAGCCCACTGCAAGACGCCATGCATCATGTGATCACAAAGACTGACAAGACGTCAAAGCTAGAGGTGAAGTACATCAATCCCTTGAAAGGTAGGTTTAATAAGTACCTGGACATGCTGTATCTGTATGATATATCATTGTTCTAAAATAAGTGTTTCTTCATTGTTCTCTTCAATTAACAGCCAATATGAACAAAAGGCAGTTACATTTTGTAAATGCTGCATGAAAAAACATATGCATCTATCAGAGCATGGAAGCCAGAGAAAAACCTGGGCAATTGTTTTTTTTTTGCTAATTAAACATTAAAAATTATAAAGGAAAGAAAAATGTAATTGAAGCACAGTGACTTTAATTCAGTTGTTCCCATTTGAAAGAAAGTAGGATAACACCCCATAAATAAGCACTTCTGAAAAACCTAAGTTATAATGACTAGTTTAAATAGCAGGATTATCTAGAAATGACAAGTTTTTTTTTTTATTTCCAGAGGTATGAAGGTAATAATGTCAGAGGAGAATATGGCTGGATGGCTCCATACCAAACTACCAAACTTAGTGTTTAAGCCAATCCTAATTTAACATTTCTAATACTATCCCACTAATGAGTGACAATAATAAAAGTAACAGTTTATATTTTGTCTATACATTGAAGCCTTTTCATGTATATTTGTTAAGAAACAATTCTGTTAAATGTGACTGAATTGCAAAATTAACATTACTCATTTAGATACATCTGGGATACTCTGTGTTAACTATAACCCCATTTACAAAAAAATTGGGACGCTGTGCAAAATGTAAATAAAAACAAAATGCAATGATGTGCAAATCATTTAAATCCTGTATTTCATTGAAAATAGTACAAAGACAACAAATCAAATGTTGAAACTAAGAAATTTTGTTTTTTGAAAAATATATGCGCATTTTGAATTTGATGCTAACAACACGTTCCAAAAAAGTTGGGACGGGGGTCTGTTTACCACTGTGCTTCATTACCTCTTCTTTAACAACACTCTGTAAGCATTTGGGAACTGAGGAGACGCTGCTGTAGTTTTGAAAGTGAAATGTTTTCCTGTTCTTGTTTGATACAGGATTTCAGCTGCTCATCAGTTCAGGGTCTCCTTTGTCATATTTTTTCATTTCATAATGTGGCAAATGTTCTCAGTGGTGACAGATCTGGACTGCAGGCAGGCCAATTTAGCACCCAGACTCTTTTCATATGGAGCCATGCTGTTGTAATACATGCAGAATGTGGTTTGGCACTGTCCAGCTGAAATAATCAAGGCCTTCCCTGAAAAAGACGCCGTCTGAATGGCAGCATATGTTGCCAAAACGTATCGTTCAGCATTAATGGTGCCTTCACAGATGTGCACATCAAACCATGTGCACTAATGCCCCCTTTACCATCATGAATACTTGCTTTTGAACTGTGCATTGACAATAAGCCAGGTCTTCTTGATTTCCAAAAAACAATTTCAAATGTTGACTTGTCAGACTACAGGACACTTTTCCACTTCCCCTCAGTCCATTTCAGTTTTCTTGGAAAGTGTTGTTGGCATCAAATTTGATATGGTCATATATTTTTAAAAAATCTATAAAATTTCAATATTTGATTTGTTATATTCGTACTATTTTCAAAGCAATATAGGGTTTAAATGGTTTGCACATCGTTGCATTTTGTTTTTATTTACATTTTGCACTGCATTCCAACTTTTTTGGAAATGGGGTTGTAATTGTATTACTCACTGTTTCAGTATTTAATCACTCAGATTAATAGCGCTATTTAGTTGTTGTAGCAATTTGGTAATGTGATTCTTTATCATTTTTTTGCAGGACGTGGTGTCTTCTCCTTAGCTCAATTTTCCAAGAGTGATTTTGTGGTTGAGTACAGGGGGGATAGGATTGATTTTAGTGAAGCTCAACGAAGAAGAAAAATCTACCACCGTCTTTGTACTGTGTTCATGTTTGACTTCAAATGGAAGGGGAAAATGTGGTGGTAAGTGACTATATTTATGAATAGTTAAAACTAAGTTCACATTGTACAAGTGAAAGGATCTGTCCTGATGGAATGAAATAGAAAGGTTTTTCCTGAAATTTGACTTAAAAGGGGGTGTATTATTCTGTTCTGTTTTTTCTTTTTTCTTTAGTTTATTATGTAGCTTTTTGTGCATGTAAGCGTTCTGCAAGGTTACAAAGCTCACAGTTCACTCCAGAGGGAGAAACTCTCTCCCACAGAACCCACTTTTCTCAGCTGCCTGAAATGCATCATTGGAATTCCAGGCCTTTTCCTTTGTTACAATCTCATAACACAGTCCTTACTGCCCGCCTACCGGTGAGCTCAGCATGCCCTCACACAGCGCACAGCGGCTACTGAAGGCTTTCAACCACTCTGGTGGTTGTTCAATATAGTGAGCGAGCTGACCAATCAGAGCTCACTGGGCTCATTGGGAGGCAGGGCTTAAAGACACAGGAGCTCAAACAGAGCGTTTCAGGCAGAGGGCAAACAGAGATGTACAGTATGAGAAAAATGTGTTTTTGGAACATTTAAAGCTGTAAAAATATTCGAGCAGACCACAAAAATAAAATTATGAACATTGAAAATAAGCATAATAGGTTCCCTGTAATCGATATTCACACATGTAGTCTGAGTGGTCAATAATTACTTAATGGTCTTTTTGGAATATGACTTTGTTTATATGTTGCTGAACTCTCACAAAACTGTGATCTCACTTCCTGTATGTCAGACAGGAACAGACATATACTTGTTATCCCTTCAGTTATCTTTTTCCTCTTTCTGTCTCTTTTGTAAAGTATTGATTCTGCCAAAGAAGATGGATCATTTGGGAGGTTGGTTAACGATGACCACAAGCACCCAAATTGCAGAATGAAGATGATTGAAGTAGATGGAAGGCCACATCTCTGCCTGTTTGCCATAGAAGACATAAAACAGGGAGATGAAATCACCTATGATTATGGAGGAAATGACTGGCCATGGCGAAAGAAGGTATATAAGTTTTTTTTTTTTTTAGGAATCTCTGGGAACCTCACAATTCGATTTGATTACGATTCAGAGGGCTGCGATGCAATTATAAAACGATTATCGGTGCATCTTTTTTTTCTACATGTGATTTCTATTTTCTTACTGTCTGAGGACTTGGTAGTTTTAAAGCAAATTATTTGTAATGATCCATAATGAATTTACTTAATATCTTCTGTTAATAAAACAAATGGAAGTGATGTGGCAAGTGAACTAGAAGGCTCTGATTAACTGCTCTTGTTTGGAGACGCTGCTGCCACTCACCTACGATAAAATGCGCTGTTACGGTGTAATAAGATCTAGTGGTAATGGATGACCACGCAGCGCGTTACAGCCGTCCTACCCATTTAATTCAGTGTTTTATAACTTCGGTTTTGGTCTCATGTTTGGGGTTTAAGTTGGAACGGGAAAGTTCAGCAAGAAGCCGGTGAGTGAAAAGCGACTTCAGCCTCGTAAAACAGCCGAAAGCTGAGAGACATTTTACAAGAAACTAAACTTTTGAGGAAAAGTTTTCTGGTGGAGTTGGAAGAAAAGCGGCGAAAAGCTGAAGCTTAAAGCAGAGTAGAGTAAGTCCGCGTTTTCGTTTATATTGTTTAGCCTAAACTAGGACATTATCACATACTGAACATTAAATGTTGTGGCTCCCAAGGTGGTTTGCTTTTTGTTGAAAGGACAAAATGGCTCTTCTTAACATTTGGGTTGTGACTCCTGATCTAACCTGGCTTTTAATGCAGACGCTGCCGGTCGGATTTCTCACTCATCCATGTGTGTTTTTGTTATGTGCCGCCACAGACTGTCCAGGCGCTGCACTTACCCACTTCCAAGTTCAGCCCTTTGGGTTCCATCAACATTACGTTATAAATAAAATATTTAGAAAATCGATTTTTGACATTTATGAATCGATTCAGAATCGTCCACTTCTGCATCGCGATGCATCTAAGAATCGTTTTTTTCCCGCACCCTTATTATAAACTATAATTTTATGCTAGAAAAGGGCGCTATAATATGTAAGTATTGTTTAATGGATATTATGTATACATTTGCTTGATTTCTGTTGTCAAGTAAAAACCATAAGATTTTGATCAAATGTTCCTGAATGAGAAGGTTGGCTAAATCATTTTTCCCTTTTTCTAACAGATGTGATCTACTTCATGTTTGAAATAAAATAACATGGGTGCTATGGATACTTAAATTAAGTTTGTAATTAATTTGGCTAATGTACTGTATTTTTTACAGGTTAGGGACGACACAGTTTCCAAGAGTAACGCCAAAGAGAGTCAGCCACCATCCCTGTCGGAACCTGTTCTATCTGTTCTATGTTCCTCAGCAAGTGATCAGGTCAGTTTCTTGCAGTCATTTACAAGTGTTTCTAAGGTATGAGAAAATCAAAGTGGAACATGAGCAAGGTTGAATTTCCAAACATTATATCTTGTCTGTTATGTTTGCTGTGTTTGATGACCTCAATGCAGATTTTGGTCAAATGAGTGTGAATAATATAGATTCTGCTCCCAGTTAGAACGGTATCCCCACAAGTCACATGGTCACAAAATGTGTTAAGGGTCCTCACAAAGAATGTTTAGACATTGATGTGTAGACCTTGAAGCACTTTGACTGAGGGTTGTAAGCAGTGAAGAAACACTACATTTACATATCTCAGGGCATGTTAGAGTTGTGAGAAGTTTCGCTTAATCACTTTTTTTACTGTTGTAACGGATGTCTTCTGCTTTATCTTTGGTCTAATATAATAGAAGTGTTATGTGTATAGGAAATTCCTCTTTGAATTGTTAGTTAATTTGCCAATGTACCATATTTGAACAGGTTAGGGAGGACACAGTTTCCAAGAGTAACACCAAAGAGAGACTGCCACCATCCCTGTCAGAACCTGTTCTATCTACTTGTTCCTCAGCAAGTGATCAGGTAAGCCTCTTTCGGTCATTAACAAGTGTTCCTTAGATCTGAAAATAGCCAACTTTGGATTTTGTAGCTTTACAATATATAGAATTAGAGAATTAAAGTTGAAAAGTATGTTTTGAGCAAGGTTTGAAGTTCCAAAACATTATATCTTGTCTGTTATGTTTGTTGTATTTTATGACCTCACGGAGTCCCCACGATGCAGGTTTTGGTCAAATGAGTGTGAATGAGATAGATGCTGGGAAAATACTCTCAGCTAGGACAGTGTCCCCACAAGTCACATGGTCACAAAATGTGTTAAGTGTCCTCACAAAGAATGTTTAGGCCTTTGTGTGTGTAGGCACTTTGACTGAGGGTTGTAAGCAGTGAGGAAACACTACATTTGCATATCTCAGGGCATGTTAGAGTTTTGAAAAGTTGTAACATGTCTTCTGCTTTGTTTCTTCCAATATGAAAAAAAGTGTTATGTGTATAGGAAATCCCTCTTTGAATTGTTAGTTAATTTGCCAATGTACCATATTTGAACAGGTTAGGCAGGACACAGTTTCCAAGAGTAACACCAAAGAGAGACTGCCACCATCCCTGACAGAACCTGTTCTATCTACTTGTTCCTCAGCAAGTGATCAGGTAAGCCTCTTTCAGTCATTCACAAGTGTTCCTTGGATCTGAAAATAGCCAACTTTGGATTTTGTAGCTTTACAATATATAGAATTAGAAAATTAAAGTGGAAAAGTATATTTTGATCAAGGTTTGAAGTTCCAAAACATTATATCTTGTCTGTTATGTTTGTTGTATTTTATGACCTCACGGAGTCCCCACGATGCAGGTTTTGGTCAAATGAGTGTGAATAATATAGATTCTGCTCCCAGTTAGAACGGTATCCCCACAAGTCACATGGTCACAAAATGTGTTAAGGGTCCTCACAAAGAATGTTTAGACATTGATGTGTAGACCTTGAAGCACTTTGACTGAGGGTTGTAAGCAGTGAAGAAACACTACATTTACATATCTCAGGGCATGTTAGAGTTGTGAGAAGTTTCGCTTAATCACTTTTTTTACTGTTGTAACGGATGTCTTCTGCTTTATCTTTGGTCTAATATAATAGAAGTGTTATGTGTATAGGAAATCCCTCTTTGAATTGTTAGTTAATTTGCCAATGTACCATATTTGAACAGGTTAGGGAGGACACAGTTTCCAAGAGTAACACCAAAGAGAGACTGCCACCATCCCTGACAGAACCTGTTCTATCTACTTGTTCCTCAGCAAGTGATCAGGTAAGCCTCTTTCGGTCATTCACAAGTGTTCCTTAGATCTGAAAATAGCCAACTTTGAATTTTGTAGTTTTGCAATATATAGAATTAGAGAATTAAAGTGGAAAAGTATATTTTGATCAAGGTTTGAAGTTCCAAAACATTATATCTTGTCTGTTATGTTTGTTGTATTTGATGACCTCACGAAGTCCCCACGATGCAGGTTTTGGTCAAATGAGTGTGAATGAGATAGATGCTGGGAAAATACTCTCAGCTAGGACAGTGTCCCCACAAGTCACATGGTCACAAAATGTGTTAAGCGTCCTCACAAAGAATGTTTAGGCCTTTGTGTGTGTAAGCACTTTGACTGAGGGTTGTAAGCAGTGAGGAAACACTACATTTGCATATCTCAGGGCATGTTAGAGTTTTGAAAAGTTGTAACATGTCTTCTGCTTTGTTTCTTCCAATATGAAAAAAAGTGTTATGTGTATAGGAAATCCCTCTTTGAATTGTTAGTTAATTTGCCAATGTACCATATTTGAACAGGTTAGGGCAGGACACAGTTTCCAAGAGTAACACCAAAGAGAGACTGCCACCATCCCTGACAGAACCTGTTCTATCTACTTGTTCCTCAGCAAGTGATCAGGTAAGCCTCTTTCAGTCATTCACAAGTGTTCCTTAGATCTGAAAATAGCCAACTTTGGATTTTGTAGCTTTACAATATATAGAATTAGAAAATTAAAGTGGAAAAGTATATTTTGATCAAGGTTTGAAGTTCCAAAACATTATATCTTGTCTGTTATGTTTGTTGTATTTTATGACCTCACGGAGTCCCCACGATGCAGGTTTTGGTCAAATGAGTGTGAATAATATAGATTCTGCTCCCAGTTAGAACGGTATCCCCACAAGTCACATGGTCACAAAATGTGTTAAGGGTCCTCACAAAGAATGTTTAGACATTGATGTGTAGACCTTGAAGCACTTTGACTGAGGGTTGTAAGCAGTGAAGAAACACTACATTTACATATCTCAGGGCATGTTAGAGTTGTGAGAAGTTTCGCTTAATCACTTTTTTTACTGTTGTAACGGATGTCTTCTGCTTTATCTTTGGTCTAATATAATAGAAGTGTTATGTGTATAGGAAATCCCTCTTTGAATTGTTAGTTAATTTGCCAATGTACCATATTTGAACAGGTTAGGGAGGACACAGTTTCCAAGAGTAACACCAAAGAGAGACTGCCACCATCCCTGACAGAACCTGTTCTATCTACTTGTTCCTCAGCAAGTGATCAGGTAAGCCTCTTTCAGTCATTCACAAGTGTTCCTTAGATCTGAAAATAGCCAACTTTGGATTTTGTAGCTTTACAATATATAGAATTAGAAAATTAAAGTGGAAAAGTATATTTTGATCAAGGTTTGAAGTTCCAAAACATTATATCTTGTCTGTTATGTTTGTTGTATTTGATGACCTCACGAGGTCCCCATGATGCAGGTTTTGGTCAAATGAGTGTGAATGAGATAGATGCTGGGAAAATACTCTCAGCTAGGACAGTGTCCCCACAAGTCACATGGTCACAAAATGTGTTAAGTGTCCTCACAAAGAATGTTTAGGCCTTTGTGTGTGTAGGCACTTTGACTGAGGGTTGTAAGCAGTGAGGAAACACTACATTTGCATATCTCAGGGCATGTTAGAGTTTTGAAAAGTTGTAACATGTCTTCTGCTTTGTTTCTTCCAATATGAAAGAAGTGTTATGTGTATAGGAAATCCCTCTTTGAATTGTTAGTTAATTTGTCAATGTACCATATTTGAACAGGTTAGGGAGGAAACAATTTCCAAGAGTAACACCAAAGAGAGACAGCCACCATCCCTGTCAGAACCTGTTCTATCTACTTGTTCCTCAGCAAGTGATCAGGTAAGCCTCTTTCGGTCATTCACAAGTGTTCCTTAGATCTGAAAATAGCCAACTTTGAATTTTGTAGTTTTGCAATATATAGAATTAGAAAATTAAAGTGGAAAAGTATATTTTGATCAAGGTTTGAAGTTCCAAAACATTATATCTTGTCTGTTATGTTTGTTGTATTTGATGACCTCACGGAGTCCCCACGATGCAGGTTTTGGTCAAATGAGTGTGAATGAGATAGATGCTGGGAAAATACTCTCAGCTAGGACAGTGTCCCCACAAGTCACATGGTCACAAAATGTGTTAAGTGTCCTCACAAAGAATGTTTAGGCCTTTGTGTGTGTAGGCACTTTGACTGAGGGTTGTAAGCAGTGAGGAAACACTACATTTGCATATCTCAGGGCATGTTAGAGTTTTGAAAAGTTGTAACATGTCTTCTGCTTTGTTTCTTCCAATATGAAAAAAAGTGTTATGTGTATAGGAAATCCCTCTTTGAATTGTTAGTTAATTTGCCAATGTACCATATTTGAACAGGTTAGGCAGGACACAGTTTCCAAGAGTAACACCAAAGAGAGACTGCCACCATCCCTGACAGAACCTGTTCTATCTACTTGTTCCTCAGCAAGTGATCAGGTAAGCCTCTTTCAGTCATTCACAAGTGTTCCTTGGATCTGAAAATAGCCAACTTTGGATTTTGTAGCTTTACAATATATAGAATTAGAAAATTAAAGTGGAAAAGTATATTTTGATCAAGGTTTGAAGTTCCAAAACATTATATCTTGTCTGTTATGTTTGTTGTATTTTATGACCTCACGGAGTCCCCACGATGCAGGTTTTGGTCAAATGAGTGTGAATAATATAGATTCTGCTCCCAGTTAGAACGGTATCCCCACAAGTCACATGGTCACAAAATGTGTTAAGGGTCCTCACAAAGAATGTTTAGACATTGATGTGTAGACCTTGAAGCACTTTGACTGAGGGTTGTAAGCAGTGAAGAAACACTACATTTACATATCTCAGGGCATGTTAGAGTTGTGAGAAGTTTCGCTTAATCACTTTTTTTACTGTTGTAACGGATGTCTTCTGCTTTATCTTTGGTCTAATATAATAGAAGTGTTATGTGTATAGGAAATCCCTCTTTGAATTGTTAGTTAATTTGCCAATGTACCATATTTGAACAGGTTAGGGAGGACACAGTTTCCAAGAGTAACACCAAAGAGAGACTGCCACCATCCCTGACAGAACCTGTTCTATCTACTTGTTCCTCAGCAAGTGATCAGGTAAGCCTCTTTCGGTCATTCACAAGTGTTCCTTAGATCTGAAAATAGCCAACTTTGAATTTTGTAGTTTTGCAATATATAGAATTAGAAAATTAAAGTGGAAAAGTATATTTTGATCAAGGTTTGAAGTTCCAAAACATTATATCTTGTCTGTTATGTTTGTTGTATTTGATGACCTCACGAGGTCCCCATGATGCAGGTTTTGGTCAAATGAGTGTGAATGAGATAGATGCTGGGAAAATACTCTCAGCTAGGACAGTGTCCCCACAAGTCACATGGTCACAAAATGTGTTAAGCGTCCTCACAAAGAATGTTTAGGCCTTTGTGTGTGTAAGCACTTTGACTGAGGGTTGTAAGCAGTGAGGAAACACTACATTTGCATATCTCAGGGCATGTTAGAGTTTTGAAAAGTTGTAACGGTTGTCTTCTGCATTATCTTTGGTCTAATATAATAGAAGTGTCACGTATATAGGAAATCCCACTTTGAATTGCTTAATTAATTTGCCAATGTACCATATTTGAACAGGTTAGGCAGGACACAATTTCCAAGAGTAACACCAAAGAGAGACAGCCACCATCCCTGTCAGAACCTGTTCTATCTACTTGTTCCTCAGCAAGTGATCAGGTAAGCCTCTTTCGGTCATTCACAAGTGTTGCTTAGTATTTGACGACCTCACGGAGTCCCCACGATGCAGCTTTTTGGTCAAATGAGTGTGAATGAGATAGAAAATCAAAGGGGAAAAGTATATCTTGAGCAGTGACAGTCACACGGTCACAAAATGTGTTGTGTCCTTACAAAGTATGTTTGACCTTGAATTCATTTTTTTTTGTAGTTTTTGTATTCACTGTAATTTAATTGAACTATTGATGTACCTGATTGACATAAGCTTGTCACAGTTATTACATAATCACTTAATTGAATTTATTAGACATGATTACAATTATATAACTTGTTAGATTTCACAGTCATTATGCTGCAACAAGCAGAATTTGAACTGGGTACATTGTGGTGAGGAAATAAATGCACTTCATGAAATTATGAGGCTTATGAAAACAAAGTTATGACTTAGAGTCAGTAATGTTTGTTTTTGTTAACTATGTAGCTAGTTCTGTTTTTAGCATGTGTGCTGGCAAAATTAGTGGGTTTTTTTGCTCATATTTTGTCCTTTTGTGGAAAAACTCTACTCATAATTCTGTTCTTAACTTATTAATCTGTAGACAGTTGTGAGTATGTGTATGTGTACACAACAGTAGTTTATCGTTTAGCTACTAAGAAAACATAGCTAACAAGCAAGATGTTTAATCAGCTAATTCAGCTACTTTTGGCTTGCATACAGTGAACAATTAAATCATTAATCACAATTATTTGTATGACAAATACTCATCAGCTAAAATTCTGTGATCATGACAGGCCAAGATTGACCACCTACTTTCTGAAAATCTGTTTAAAGTCTGGAGCTGAAGCCTTTTGCTTGTTCTCATTCTTGTCTAAAGGATAATATTCTTAAAGGGGTTGTTCAATTGCATAGCATCTCTTCACTTGTGTACCAACTCTTGTGATTTGTACAATTGTATCATATATTTACAGAGGACTAGGAAGGACACAATTGCAGAGAGCAGTGCTCAAGAGAACTGTCAGCCATTGCAGTCTCGACCCGCTCTGTCTGCTTGTTCCTCAGCAAGTGATAAGGTAAGTCTCTTGCGGTCATTCACAAGTGTTTGTTAGGCATGAAAATCGCCAACTCTGAATTTTGTACAAGTGCTTCTTAGGGCACAACACAGATTTTGCTTACATTAAGGTCATTTTCATACTTGTCAGCCTAAATTATATACTCAGTACTGAAACTGTATAGGATTTTGAGCGTACCCTGGGGTTTGCAAAGTATCTCTTATAATTAGCTCACATTTTATTTCCAAAATATATAATATATTACAGATGACAGAAGAGGATACAGTTTTGCTGTTTTGTCAAAGAGAATCTTCAGCCACTGTCTCAGTCAAGACTCCTTGCTACCTGTTCTACCTGTTCATGTTCAAGTCTCTTGTAGTCATGTCCATTTGAACTTTAAAATAAATTTGAACTATACAGATGAGAAATTCCAATCCTGAGAAGACTGCCTGGGTCACCCCTATGTCTCGTCAGTCAGAGCCTCTGAAGGATCACAGCAACGACAGCAGTTCTGGGCAGGTACATTTGTTTAAAGATTAAAAGCTTTCTGAAATTGTGGCCAGGACATGAGCTCAGTTGAAATTGACCTTTTGAATTACAAGGAATTTCTAATCACAGTATACACAATTGAATATGGATGAACTTTCATACAATTTTTATTTTTGAGAAGACTTTAAAATGCTACAATGTAATATAGGCTCTCGTATCAATACAGCTTCCCAGTCTTGGTTAAATTGTGGATAGATTTAATACTTTATGGAATTATTTTTATGTTCAGCCTGTTATTAAATTTGTGCAACTACATTGTGAGCAGACTTCTTTTTTACATTGATTTAATTCTCCAACTCCCTCAACAATGTTGTATGTTTTTCTTCTTTTGTTGAAGAGTTCTTCATTAGAAGACACTGATGAAGAGGATGTGCATGTACCTAGATTAAGAAGGACTAGAAGTGTTATAGTAAGTGTTTCATATTCATTCCAAAGCAGATAAATTTCATTAGCATATTAATTCATAGCTTAAAAATTCAATGAATTTATGGGCATGTGCCGGTATAATGTATATTAAAGACGCACAGTAACATTATTGTGAACTTCAAAACGTTAAAACAGCTGCAGGCCATAGACACAGAACAGCCATTCTTTAACAAACTCTTACTGCCACTGCCGTGTGGTGCTGTGAGCATGTGTTAAGGCCATTACACACCAAACAGGATGAGAAAAAAATGCAAAATATTCAAATGTAGTTGTTATTATTATTATTAGTTTTTTTTTTTTATTTCACCTAATTTTTTGCTCTGTGGAAAAAAAGAGAGTATATGCTCTTTACAGAAAGAGGCAAGAGTTTTGACCTTTAGTTGTCTTAATATGGTATCTCAATGGAATGTATGTCTGGGTATTGACTAAGGGCCATTCCATATCTCTAATTTTCATTTTCTTTAGACTGCAGTAGGCTTGATTTTATATTTTCAATTGTTCTGTTGCTGTTTGATCAAACTGAACATCAGGTTTACTTCTGAACTGGTTGGGCTGATATCCTCCTTTGAAATTCTCAAATACACCACTGAATTCCCTTTTGCCAAAGCCTCTTTCAGTGATGCCAAGTCATGCCCCTAATTTGACACTAGAATCACTGAGATTGAACATGGGTATGACGTTCATTCTGCAGAATGTAGTGATTATTTTGCTAGACATCCTAGACCTTCCATAATTTGTACATCAGGTAGTATGGCACAAAACATAGAAACAAATTCACAGCCCTTTTCAGAATGATACATTTTTATTCTTGTAAAATTCTTCTTTGTATATATAATGTTGAAATCCCAATTCAGTGGTCATTTGTGTTTCAGCAGTCCATGAAAAAGTAAATATTCAGAAAATCATGCAGGGGACAAATACTTGTCATATAGATTTGGTTTATGAATTTGTCTTGTAATTTCTGATGCTTACTGGCTTGGCATTTCAAAAATGACTAAATTATCATATTGATTTTTAGATGAGAGGGTTTGTTCCTGAAGATTCAGATGAGCTGTTTGATTCTACTCCAGATAGTGGAAAGGAGTACATCCCTAACTCTAGAGATGAAAGGAACGAAAGTAGTTCAGAGAGTAGTACCTCCCTAAAACCAGTGAAACAGAGCCGTCTGTCTTCCACAGATGAAGCTATCCCCTCTAATCTTGTCCCTCATAGCACATCTTCAGGTGTCATGGGTGTTACAGAGAGAAGCAACCTTGAAGTTATGGATCTAAATAAATGGCCCAGCAAAAGTCCTCCAGTAATAGAGAGTGATGGAGTCTGCAGCAATTCTGAGCTTGTGCAACAAGAAGGGGCAGTAGTAGTCAATGCAGTCAGAAGAAAATGTGATGGTCGTAGAGCATATGACAAGAAACATTACTGTCTGTTTTGTTTGAAACCTTTTAGCAAAATGGCAAGACATCTGCAGTATGTCCATTCCAGTGAAAAAGAAGTGGCTATAGCATGCAGTTTTCCAAAGGGTTCTAAACAGAGAAAAATGCATTTGGATAATTTACGTCACAGAGGGAACTTCGTCCATAATGCTTCTGTAATTAAAACGGGCAAGGGTGAACTGGTTCCATGCAAACGACCACCAAAGAAAGCACAAGGCACTGATTTTATGCATTGTGCATATTGCCAAGGGTTATTCACCAGGAACGTTCTTTGGCGACACGTGAAGGTCTGTAAACTAGGCCCTGAAGATTATACTCCAAAACCTGGGAAAAAACCGTGTCCAGTCTCTCTGTTCATTTACACAGCCTGTACCTTCACACATAAGCAAAGCACTGTGGAAGACTTTAAGCCTCATGAATGCAGATGAAATCACAGCTGCTGTCAAAAATGATAGCTGCATCATTCAGCTGGGGGAACATTTGTTGAACAAAGGTGGATCAACTGCAAAGAATGAGGCATGCTTACGACAGAAGTTGCGAGAACTAGGAAAACTACTGATCACTGGCAGAAAAGTTGCATCTCTGAAGACAATGGAAGATTTTATACATCCTCAAAACTACATGAAGATGGTTCAAGCTGTCAGACATACATGTGGATATGATAGTGAAGCCAACACATACAAAACTCCTTCTCTGGCAAAGAAACTTGGAATAAGCCTGATGAAGCTCAGCAAACTCGTGAAAGCTCAAGCTTTGATTGCGAAAGACCACTGCTTGGCACAGAAGCTCAGTAACTTCCAAGAAATACATAAAGAACGGTGGTGTGAACTGATCTCAGCAACAGCAGCACGAAATCTTGAGGAGTCAAAGTGGAATGCCCCCACAGTGTTGCCTTTTACAGAAGATGTGCAAAAACTTCATGCATTTCTCAATAAAATGCAGGATGAATTGATCAAGCAGTTATCAGCAGAGCCCACATCAAAATACTGGTCTGATCTTGCAAAGGTCGCTTTGACTCAGATCATGCTCTTTAACCGTCGTAGAGAGGGAGAGGTATCGTGTATGCTCCTATCCGCTTTCTTATCCAGGGACACCAGTGATCCACATGATGACATAGATTGGGCCCTCTCCGAAGTTGAGAAAAAACTCTGCAGGCACTTCTCCAGAATTGTGATCAGAGGAAAAAGAGGACGTCCAGTTCCTATTCTGCTGACCCCTAAAATGCTGAATGCAGTAGAGTTGCTTGTGAAGAACAGGGAGACTTGTGGAGTGCTGAAAGACAATGTTTATCTCTTTGCTCGGCCATCAGCAATGTCACATTACAGAGGCTCAGATTGTATCCGCAGCTTTGCAAAGTCTTGTAATGCAAATAGTCCTGATGCACTGACATCCACAAAACTGCGAAAACATGCTGCCACTCTTTCTACAGTTCTAAACTTGAAGGACACAGACATGGATCAGTTAGCAAACTTCCTGGGACATGACATCAGAATTCATAGGGAGTTCTATCGCCTTCCTGAAAAGACCCTCCAACTTGCAAAAGTCAGCAAAGTTCTTATGGCATTAGAACAAGGGAGACTTGGAGACTTCAAGGGCAAGAATTTGGATGAGATCAGTATTGACCCAAATGGTATATAACAGTCTTTGTGTTTTTTATTTTTATTATCCAGTCAATTATTCACTCATTCACAATGACACAACAGTACAGATGTTTTAATGTTGTGATCTACAAGTCTTATTAATTTACTTTTTGTCAATACATTGTTCTTTTTGCAGAGGAGATGGAGCTAATTGATGATGATGATGAAAGAAGAAGTGAGGAAGAGGATGAAAAATATGAAGAACTTGGAGGTATTTTCATCATCAGGGGAAAATGGCATGGTATTTCATTAGACTAGTTGAATAATTGTTTTTCTTGAT